CTGATACTGTTACAGCCTGCGAGTGTACCACCACCAAGGGGAATGCACGACTCTTCATATGCGCGAAGGTGGCGACCGCGACGAGCTGATGGAGATTGTGATGCGTCTACGGGCTGTCACTTCGGGCTGCGTGGCACAAGAACTCTCTTTGCGAAGAAATCCGATGGGGCAGCTGGGATTCCATGTCCAGCCGGATGGAGTGGTGACACAGGTTGAAAGCCTGGGTCTTGCGTGGCAGGCGGGTCTTCGTCATGGAGCGAGGCTGGTCGAAGTGGGTTCACCCTTCAGAAAGTTATTTCTTATCTTGTATCGTAGCGTTTAAATTTTATACTGTCACGACTAGTGCTAGAGAAAATGTTAGTATTGGTAGTCTTTTGGGTATGACGCGAATGACTCTTATCTGGAGACCATCGTAGCTAAAATGAGGAACAGAAAGCACTGAAAATCATATAATTTTGCTTCATGTATTCTTTTTCTCCAAAACATTTCTGTCTACCAACATTTTCATATGGCGTCACAACCCAGAAGAATAATGTCAGCGTAAGATTAGTTTGTGCACTGAATTGTGTTATTCGACTTACAATCGGCACATCAGTTAATGTAGGACCGCCAGATGAACTTATATTCTGATAGCTCTTTTGTTTTCAGTTGATTTAATTCCAGTTAAAGTCACTATAGAATTATTTTTTTGGTAACTCTGTTGTTGAACAAAACACTTTTTATTTCCAGATCTGCAAAGTCGCTGTATCAACGTTATCCCATGACCAAATGGTGGATCTGCTGAAGACGTCCATGTCGGTGACGGTCGCTGTAATTCCGTCGTTACCCGATGGTTCTCCAAGAAGGTGAGTATGTTCATTACGTTTGAAGGTGTCCTTCAAAGAGAAAAATACAGAGACAATAATTGGCAAAGTGAAAGTTGACTTAACCATGAATAAGAACGAGGCCGTTGACTCCTCATGTGACTTTTCTGTTATATAATGAAGGATAGATGTGAACGGTATAATTCAAATTCATGTTCGTCTATGTCTTTCATCACAACTTTATACTTCCAGTTACTTATAGTCGGTAATACCAGCGTGGTCGGCACGGAAACTTCTGAAATAGGCGTGACCCTAATCCTTTGTAATGTAAGATCCTGAAATTTTGTATGTCGATAGATTTCGGATATGTTTAAAATCTTTGCTGATTTATGTTTTATGTAACGTGTAACGGCATATTCCAAGAATGTTAATAGATAGATCAGTGGTGTATTTTTCTCCATTTAGGGGCTGCACATTGCAGAACTGTCGGTACACTCTGAATAACTACGAGGGTGACTACGAGAACGTTTCTGGTGGAGGCAGCGATGAAAAGATGGGTCGTAATGCGGCGGCTGCTGTACCCGGGAAACACAGACGTCGCTACGAGAGAAGTTTCTCTCCCCCTCGATCATCCAGTAGTTCAGGTTATGGAACGGGATCCAGCAGCAAATCGTTTGCTGATCCACGGTTTCCAGCCAACTCAGAGGTTTGTATGAAAATATAATTTTTAATAAGGTTTAAATTGGTGTATTTTTCTTCGCAAATTTGACGAGTCTTGATTATTCAGATTGTGATGGAAATGTATTTTTATTTGGTTTTGTTGTAATTTATGTGATGAATTTGAGTTTTATAAATTTGAAATATAAGAAATATCTTGCGTTCAGTGAATAAGTAATTAACTTCAACAAACAAGATAGAGAAAACTTTGAATGTACCAGCCCTGACTTTATTTGAAAAATTTTGTTAAAAAAAATTCAGAGCGATCTATATTCACTACCTGTGCTTTTCCTTCCAGTTTGCTATTCATAACCATCCAAACATTTATCGCTCGTTACTTAACCTCAGTGGTTGATACCAAAATTGTTGAACAACCCGTTAGTAGAATCTGTCAAACATGAACTGTCTATATTTGTTCATAAATATCATCATCAGTGCACAATAATTTCCGTTAGTATCATTTTAAGAAACGGTAAAAATCATGCGAGGTAATTAAAGCATACAAAAATGGCGAAGATGTAGGAAATTGTTTAGTCCTATAGTCTCAATATTACAAATTTAATTTATTTGGGGTAAGAAGTCTTCTTGTCTTCGCAGGGCACAATGACCAGTTCTTCCAGCGGGCATTCGAGTGACGATCGATGGTACGAACTTCTGGAACCGGCCGACCCTGATACGTCGGTGATGGTCGGTGAATCTCTCCCCCCTCCTCTTCCCGCTAGACTAGGTTCAGGGAGTGGCAGTGCCTTTCAACAAGTACCTCCAAAGCAGTCGCAACACGGGGGCAAATTGCCAGTGCAAACAAGTCACTCGTTGCCCCTCAGTCCGGCAGGGAACTACTCCCTTCTGTCTTCTGCACCGTCTAGGTACAATTCAAGTGGCGAACATGAGTCACCAACTCACCATGATTTCAAGCTTGGTGAGAAAGTGACTTGCCTCAAACCTTCTGGAGGAGAAGCGAGACCTGTGCCTAGACCTGCACTAGACTACCTCGCAACTAGAACACCAAAGGTGATGCATATTAACGTTAATAACACTGGAATTATAAGATAATAAAAACAGTCTGAGCCAAAAGTTTCGTGGACTTTGTTCGGGGAGGATTGTGCTTTATTTGATGTCGTGGAAAACTTGTCGAATGTGGGTCACAAGGACTATCCCTGTGCTAACCCAGTCGGTTATAATCGCATGTCTTTTAATTGAATTGTCGGTGATATTTCAGAAATTAATGCGCACTGTTTACTATTATATGGTCTCTAAAATTGTAACTGTTTACAACCTCTAAGTTCGGACCATTTCATGTTTCAAGATTTCTGATTATTCTGGCCACCAACATGCAGCTATTGATACGGTGAAATCGTCCAGTTTGCCGCCTGATTGCGCTACTCTCCGAGGACTTGCCGTCAGTGATGGTCACTCAACTGACACCAGTTCTGCCAGTGAGCGGCTGTTTGGGGCACCCAGTGAAGGTAAAAAGCTTTGATCCCTTTGTACAACCCAGTACTGTTTCCGTGTTTGGTACATGAGAGCAAGGAATTGCGCAAATAAATGCTGAGTTGTTTTTAATGAAAATGATGAACTTTGTACGCGTAGAGCGTTTAACTGGTCTGGAAAGTATCCTGGAAAACCTAGAGAGAAGAGACCACTTGTGAGACCTAGACATAGAGGTGAGATAACATTAAGATGAGAGTTTCTGGAATTAGGGTGTGAGCGTACAGACTGGATTCATCTGGTTCAGTGTAGGGCATTTGCGAACATGGTAATGAACTGAAAGGTTCCATTAAAAGACGAGTACTTACTTGACTAGATGAGCAACTCTTTGCTTTTCAAGGACCCATGGAGTTACTTTTACAGTTCTACAGAGGCAATGTACTTCTAACTCTGAATGTGCATCATTGAATGGTTTTATATTTTAGCTTTAATATTCCTCCTCGTAATACATTGACTTTGTTGTCATAAACCGATCACGCTTCTATATTTGGATATTCTGATACACGGCTGCCAACTAAAAATGTCTTTGTAAATGTGTTTTTTTAGATGAGATGTCAGCTGGGAGCAGTAACGTATCTCCTCGTCTGCGTCGTTCTACAAAACACTATCAGAGTGGTGGAGGAGGTGGGGGAACTCTAACGCCGTCTAGTGGCAGTAGCAGAAACCAAAGCCCTCGTCCCAGGGACACTGGCGAAGCTAGGCTGAGGCCTGGGGTCACACCTCGCGTTTCATCCAATCGTAACAGCGCAAACTTAACAGCCAGCACGTTGCAGGAGGATCTCATGAGGCTGATAAATCCAGATTACATGGCTGAAAGAGATGAAAAAATTAACAAGGTGGGTTGTTATGAAATGAGAAGACATGTCTTCTGTCGTTGAAAATGCTTCTGTCTGCATGACAGCGTTGTTTTCTTGCGGCCCGAATTGTTGTTATCGATATCGTTCCTGTAAATATTAATTGTTTTATGCGGGCATTGCTTGTTTTTGATTGTATGTCTGCATGACAGCGTTGTTTTCTTGCAGCCCGAATTGCTGTTATCAATATTGTTCCTGTAAATGATAATTGTTTTATGCGGGCGTTGCTTGTTTTTGATTTTAATGATGTTTGAAATTATAAATTTCAAGAGCCTTAATAACTTTATGTCGCCATCATATTTACGTATTTTAACACGTGGTTTTCCCCTAGACATTTAATATGTTTTGTCCTCGTCAGGAAATTTTAATTGTAGGTATATTTTTCCACGAGTAATTATTGTATAACATTGCAACATTGTATGCACCTGTTTTGTGAAGAATTAGTGGACTAGACCGATGATATTTATCTTCTGAACCATTTGGTGAATAAACAGATGCATGATGATTTTTCAGGAACCTGTGGGAAATGGCGCAGTTGCCGGAAAAATACACAGCAGCAGTAATAGTACCGGTTGCAGTGTGAGTGATGCGACCATTACTAATCGATCTCGTTCTCGGGAGAACTTGTGCAACCCTAATGGGAATGGCTCATCACTCAGCGTTCTTCCAGCTGGCCAGCCTCTTCCAGAACCAGACCAGCATACTAGGGAGCAACACGGAAGAGACCAGTAAGTTAAACACAGGGATGGAGGTTCTATGGGAGCAGATTTCTTTTCAACTTCTTAGTTTAATTCATATAATGATCCTTATAAAAACACTGGGGTGTGCGTCTTATTCAGGGCTGTGTAGTATTTGGTTAGATACAATATTGAACTTGGCTCAACATATATATATACACACTTTATTAGACTTCAGCGCACCAGAGACCACCACACGAGTAGCATCAATGGCAATGCCACAGTGGAACGTAGCTCGTCAGGTGAAGTGATCCTTACTCTGGCACGTCCAGCTACGGTCATTTCTAATGCAAGCACAGCTTCAAGTCCAGCGCCCAGTGAAAATAAACTTACCAAAGAGGAAAGGTGAGTTGATTTAATTTTGTGTGGGTATTACATGTTTTTCTTCTGAGAATGAAGGACAGGAAACATTTTTGGTGCATTTGCCAGGATTTAACATACATGTTTTTCTTCTGAGAATGAAGGATAGGAAACGTTTTTGGTGCATTTGCCAGGATTTAACTGTTGTCAGTGGTGCCATTGATGTCAGAGTCGGTGAGAACGTGGTTGTATGGATGCCAGTCTGGTTGGGTATCGTCGCAAGGGATTCCTGGGGAATGAGACAGTCCCAGCCAGATATGTGCCAGTTTATGAATTAAATAATCAAATTCCAGTCCTTTATTTTTGTTATGCATTGAATTTTAAGTGTTTATGCTGCAGTTTACCGGCTTTGCCATTTTTCATTTTTATGGGCATAGGCATAACTTATTACACTTATGGAGCACTAAATCATACCTAATAGGTACAGTTTTATGGTCATCATTTTGAGTAAGATTGCTTCCTATTGTAATTTGTCGTAGGTTATCGCCACGAGTGACGAAGCAACCTGGTGCTAAGTTGGCAGAGCCTCTACCTCTGCCTGATGCTCGGGAGATGGATTGGCCTACTCTGGTGGACACTGCAACACGAGCCATGATGCAGGTTCAGCACGACGAGCCAGTTCCGGAAGCAGCTCGCAATGGGGAAAGCTTAGGTCACTGGGTAGATGATGTGGCAGAGCATCTCGGACTTGATAGCACTGCTGCCAACATGTAAGTTTTGGAGTGTTGATGCCTATACAAAATATTGAGGGAAATATGCGAATGCTTTCGATAATTGTGTATTGTAAGAATGATTACCAGTAATTGTGTCTTTGTGTATGTGTGACCACCAGGACAAACATACAAGAGAAAGGAGCGATGAGAATTTTATTGCTGTACGTTTTGACGTTCTTACGTGTTAATGCTCTGTCATGCACTTTCCAATGCTGCAAATAATTATTTTTCAGCAAAAGCAATAGCATATCTACTGGAGGACGACGAATGACAGAACTCCAGAGTTATCTGGCACAGTTGGAAGCTAGAATTGCTAGAGAGACTCGTCGCCGGCTTTCTTTGGAAGAGGAGGTCCGACGTTTACGAGATGAAAATAGACGACTGCAAGAGGAATCGCAGGCTGCAGCACAGCAGCTCAGACGCTTCACTGAGTGGTTCTTTCAGACCATTGATCGGCAGTAGGATCAATAACAAAAGAACCCAGCTAGAAAGAAATCAAAGAATGGCGTCTGTGAAATACAATTACACGTACTGATGACCATTCATATTGAGTATTTTAGCTTTGGTTTATTGTAGATTGTTTAAAAGGATGACTTACGAGTCTGGTAAAGTCTTATTAAAACACAGATGTGTTGAATAAATTATTTATCGTTCATTAAGCAGCTAAGGTAAGCCATGTATACAGTAACGTACAGAAGTAGTGAATAAATTATTTATCTGTTTTTAAGCAACTAAATAATTGAAGCCTTGAACATTGAAAGCCTATGCAATTACAGATGCAGTGCTGTTGTTTTATCTTTCTCAGATTTATCAAATAGTATACGTACTGCCCGTCTAAAAGAAGATCTTTCTCAGATTTATCAAATAGTATATGTACTGCCCGTGTAAAAGAAATTCTTCTTGTTAAATACATACTTTAATATATTTAAATCAGAGCTGTGCAACCATTTAGCGTGTCTGTTGTCTTCTGAATTTAAGTGGGAACGTGTTTTCTTTGCAGTTGTCTTTTATTACCGTGAAAATTGTTATGCTTTAAATTCTATACTGTTTGTTTCTGTTTAAATGTAATAAAGATCCACCTTTAGACCACACCATCTTGTGCTTGTAAACTAGAATATATGAAATAATATTTTCTTTTAATGATATTGAAATTTAGATGGTCAGGCTGAACAGATAGCTCAAATAGGAATGCCTAATGCAGGTTAGAAACTGTTTGTATCATTTAAAACAAAGCAGAAACATATCCATGTAACTGTAAATTCTAGATGCTTAATGCTTTATTGTAGGTACTGAATACCAAGTAACCTATTACAAAAATGTATTTACGCCTAGCAGTCTCTTAGCGTTCCAAGATTGTTATTTAAAAAAAAGGCACGTACATGCCCAGTAAACTGTAAAAACTGAATATTTTTTGCTTTGCCGTGGTTATGAAAGACCAATCAGTTTAATATAATATAGGTACTGCTCGTGTTGGAGAATTTATGAGCCATACAAGGAAGAGAGAACGTGGTTTCGACAATACCATGTATTACTAAACGTGATGAATGGGCATCTGTTGGGTAATATTATTCTAAGGATTTGCACAATCATTCAGAATTGTCTGGAGCTTTGAAAATGGGTCTGCAGGATTTTAATCAGAACCATGTCTGCCACAATTTCTATACACATTTCATATAGTAACGAGGGTCTGTCCTGTTCATAGTCTCAATTTAGTACATCAATATACAGATTAAAAGATTTACAAATTTGATAAGTTAGTATTAGCTACATCCTCATATGGCAGAGTGGAAGTAATAGATTTTTAATTAATAATTTGAAAATTTATATCTCTATTAATATTGCTATACTCCAGTAACCTGATAAGGCTTGGAGCAGACTTGTAGGACAAAAACATTAGGAACGATTAGTTGTGTAGGCTGTAAATGTATATCGCATGCCAATGCGTTTTCCGCAAAGTTAAGTTTTTCACAGCTCTGATTTAAACGAACGGTATAATGCCACGCGCATTTAGAAGTGTCTTGATTTCTTTCCAGTATTTTATAAATAAAATAAATTCACTTCTTTAACCTTTTTCTTCTTCCCAAGTCTTTTACTTAGGTAACATCTGTTTAAAGTTGATCTCTCTATATACATGTTTTACATTTCCGTCCGCTTTTGAAATTCTGAAAAATGTTAAAGAAATAAAACTATTTCAACAGCCTTACAAGATATACTTGTCAATTTCAAAACACCAATGATATCCTTCAAATGTTTTGTATATGCCATTAAGTAAAATCATGCAGTATTAATTACAGCTATAATTTAGAAATTAGACTACTTATGCTTTGTTATATTAAAATACAGATTGAACTTTAGTGTTTGTACATAATTATAGAATGTTGGTTAATGGTTCATGATAATTTAAGTATCCCTCACTGTTTGTATATACGTCATATTTCCCATTATACATTACATTTTTTTTTTTAGTATATTTATATGTAGTATTCATATGCAAGAAAGACAGGTTAACAGATTCTAACAAAGTTACCAGTTGATAGTGATTGTGAGCTGAATATTTTAAAATAAATTACACTTTCGAGTTCACACATAATAAAGAGTACAGTACACATTTTACAACTTTTGTGCATTTATTAGAAATGTTTGTTTTGGACTTTAGTAAAGTCTGATGTTGGTGTGTGGAAAATCCCTTGTTGTAAGATAATGTTGAATTCAGTTTTTATATATACATAGAATAACCCGTTCCAATTTCTTACGATAATTTATCTTGCCATTGTGTTCTGGTTAATAGGTAGAGGGAGCGCTTTCAAGTTCGTAGTGACAAAATTATGAAGAAAGAATACCACATTTGTATGTGTGTAAGCCGTGCTTGATTTCAAAGTAGGAGGGGAGAGAAATTACATAAACCATTTTTGTGTGCTTTCGTTGACATTAGCATCCATCGCTTGCTTACTAGCACGTGTAATCTGTGCTAGTCAGAACTTGAGTGAGTGAATGTACGTAAGTTCTTTGTGTTCCGTGTTCCTGAAAATACTATCCTTTGCTAAGCAAACATTTTAACGGATAAATGTTATTGGATTATGATTTGTGCTTGTACAGAGCTAATTTGTTATTAAGTAAGACAGAAGTGGTAATCTCATAAAATTTAACATAAGCATGATGCTTCGGATTTCCCAAAGATGAAGTTACATAAATGAGACTAATTCTTTGTAGTTGGATTTGTTGCTTGAAGACTTGTGTGACATTTCATAGACTCAGCCTAGTCATTAGGCCGAGGTTCAGTTTGTATTTCTGTACCTAGTTCTCAGAAAGACTCATTACTGTTTTAATCTTTCCAGAAAGATACTCTCTGTCTGTAGCCTGAATGCAATGATAAGACGTTAATTAAATATGTTGGTAAAACTAGTAATATGATAAGTTAAGGTTAAAATTACTTCCGCACTTGGTCTGTAGGACTTTTAAATATTGTTTTGGAACATGTAAAAGAACAGCCAAAAAAAAATCACAAAAATATGCCTTGACATCTTTATTTGTGCAGAAAGACTGTATACCTCTGTACGTTGCTACGGCAGGAAGATAGTTCTCGTTTTTATTACCAGTTGCAGCTGACTTATGCGACTCCCTTATCTTTGTTAACTGGTGCCTTGTTCTGCAGCGTTATACTGTATAAGATCTGGTTCAAATAATGTCATTTAAAACAATGATTAATTTGTTATTGAAACAAAGTTAATTAAAGTGATGTAAATCTGTAGTCTTCCTACTTCCCAATCCCTGCAAGTTTTGTTACAACAGCCACAAGTTTCTGCTTTATATTAAAACATACTTAGACTTATTTAAGAAAGCTGGATTAATACATTCACTGCTCTGCATGTGATTCAAAAACTTTCTTTCGTGTTGAGTTTTTGCTTTAGCCCTAGAACTAGTCCATGACTACATTTTCTAAATTGGCTGAGTGGCAGGTAAGATTATATGAATTTATCACAAACCGTGGGGTCAGTATGATAGCAAATGAATCATTTGCACACAAACTGAAGTACTCGGAGAACATTCCTTATTATGACTTGTCTACCTCATATCACGTGGATCTCCTGGGATTAAACCTAGACCTATGTGACAAGATGTCTGCTCTGAGCCAGAGCTATGGCAGAAACCGTCTTTGAAATTATAAAGATAAGTCCCATCTTAAAACTGGTTAACCTTCATTTATGATCTATATTTTGAAGAATGAATATATTTATATTGCATTATATACCGATTATTATTGGTCAAACTAGTCGTGATTTTCAGAACAAGAAATATGTAAATATACCATATATCTACATGTGGTGTTCCGTATAGCTTCGTCTTTAACAAACAAGAATGCAACTGATATGTGCTACACAGATTTGGTACTGCATGCATAAAACCTACAGAATAAATACAATCTGCATGTATTGCAGTGAATGTGTTGATGCTAGTGGTTATAAGCAGAGTTACGGAATGTCGAAACTTATCTCATGTTGGAGTATGACAATACTTAGCATAAGAGCCCACAGACACCAGCATTACTTTTAAAGTTTTTGATATGAATTGCACAGAGGAATAGCATATGAAATTTTCTTGTCACAGTTTGCAATAATTTGCAAGGTATGGGCCTTTTTTGACTTCTTTGTATGAAATACTGCAGAGTACTCTACTAGATGTTTCCAGACAGACTATAACATATTATTTAATTTTACTGTTGCATAAATCCAGATATGAGAACAGTTTTAAATGTTTTAAAATGGGATAGTATTTGAGTAAGACTGGAAAAGTGTAATCCATACCAGAATACAGTTTCCACATTGTATGAGAGTAATTCAGAATTGACTGTTAAAGTAGGTGGTACATATAGTTACCACTGGGCTTGATGTGTAACTGCTCATAGTATTTTATCACGAAAGAACTTATGGATCCCTGGTATCTAATTTTGAAAATTCTGCTGATGGCTACAAAGTTACTGATAGAGTTACTGCATTTACTGAATTAAAAATGTAGAAACAAAATGGTCAGCTGTAGGGGTACTGTGTAAACACTGTATAATAAGATTGTCTAAGCATGATGTGTTGTGAATGTGTTAACCCTTATCCTGTGCATTATTTCTTAATTGCTTTATCAAAAGGATATGATTTTAAGGAAAAGATATGAACTCATTATGAGGGCCAGGTTATTATTTATGTATGCAAACAAGAATTACCGACACACCAAATATTCAAGGTTATACTTATAATTGAGAAACAGTACCGCAAGTTTCAAAATCATGTTCATATCATAAAATTTGCACCTGGATGGCAGCACTGTGCAGACTAACAAAAATGAAATTTCTAGCTTAGGGAGTAATGCTGGATGTGGCATCAAAAGGAGAAAATTATTCTTGATGTGTAGCGAAGTCAAATGTTGCAGTGCACAGAAATGTGGACATATGACTAAGTCAAACTTCACAGAATAAGGGTTAAAGAAGATAAATCTGAGGTCTCTACCAAATATATAGATAAACTTTGATGGTGCTTTGTGCCACATACATTTCGACAAATTCTTCTTTTTTTGGCTTTGTAGACTTAAGACTTACGCATTTTCATTGCTTTAGGACCATTCAACATTCCATTTCTGCAAATTCCAGCATATCATAATACTGGAAGTTTGAAAAAGAATAAGACTGGCAAAACAGGACACGAAACACAGTGAATCTAAGTCAAGTAATAAAAAGTGGTCTAAATGTAAACAAACATTTCTAAAATTTTTCGAAATTCTGGCGTAATGTCCGTGCCAGACTTGTTGGTAACTAGGAATTGCTGAAGATTTGTTTCTTCTGTGATAACTGTGTAATTTAAAGTGT